AGTTATTACGTTTTTTTCGATGGATAAATACAATAATATTTTCAGCCATTTTTCATTTAATCGATATATTTTTATGAGAGTTATAATGCAACGAAATTTAACAATGTTTGATAAAATTGAGTAAAAACAATTGTAACGTTTTAACTGTGACATGTAACTGTAGAATGTTACAGTTATGACATGCACGAATATGGTAGTAATTCTCTTATTTAGGATGTCTCGAAAAAATTTCTATAATTTAAAAAGAAAATTATTTATTTTCAAGGCTCATTATTTGTTATTATTTGCTGCAAGTTGTTGTACACAAAATATTTGTAATTTCCATTAAATAAAATTACTGTGACTTCCCATATATATATATAATATATACCGACACAATAAATATAATAAATAATATATATTCACTTAGAAAAAAAAGAACTTTTATTTGAAATATTTTTGGGTATATAGTTCAAAATAATATATCCTGCGTATGTAGAAAATGTTTTGATGATATCATCGAGATACTAAAAAAAAAAAAAAAAAGTCAATTCATTGCGGACGTGACGAATGTCTCGTATTTATTTTCTCACTTATTTATTTTCAAACGGTACTCCGTACAGAATTTGATTCTCTCTTTCTTTCTTCCCTCTCTCTCCTCTTGACTCACATACACACACACACTTGCTTATCCTTAAAGCTCAAACCTGCGGGCAAATAGATAAAGTCAGATTGTAATTTCACGGCTATTTCTCTTCGATTACATTTAAACAATAAATAAGATTCACAGGTGGATTGTTTCTCGAATATATATTACTAACTTGAAAGCTTCTTTTATTAAATAAAACCACTGGTACGGCAAATTGATTAACTATACCTACTAACAAAAAAATATAAAGAAGAAATTTTATATCTATATAAATATATTAAATTTAAATTATATATATATATATATATATATCTATTTATTTCATTATCCGTATCCATTTATTATTAAACGATTATAATAATTATTGTCGTTTCATAATGTTAAGAATATTTATTTTTGATATAACGAATGAAACATTAATCGAGTCGTTTGAATAATAAAAATTGTAGTCAATTCGTGAAATAAATCGCTTCGAATTGTAAATATTACTCGTGTAATAATATTTTTCTTGGAGAATTTGTTTTTTACAAAAAAAAAAAAGAAAAAAAAAGGGGAAAAAACAAAATACTTCATTTAAAATGTTACGAGAGATAGGAAAATAACAAGTTCCGTGAGAAAGGAATCGTGTTAACGAGTTGTTATAGCATCACCACCACCGATCCTAAGCTTAACTTTAACTTGTAGATAATTTCGTCCAATTAAACGATGATAGGCTAGAATATTGTTGGACATAAGTGCACCATTACACTTTGTGACGTATATAATTGGAGATGAGGTTTTATATGGTCCTTGTTAAAAAATTGTTCATATATACATATACATGTATAGAGTTAATAACACGTATTGCATACGAAATTGATCAATTTTATTTTATTAATACAAATATTCTATTTGTGTATATATATATATATATATATATATATATGTTTTATTAAAAATATTGGCCAGAGTTAGTTGACAAGAAAATATATTTATTACGTGATAAATTTGATTTAAATGTTAAAATTATGCTAAACATTTTTTTTAAAACGAAGCACAAAACACCATTGTTTTTCTGACGATTCAAATCATAAATGTATTTCTCTTCCTACATGAGATGGGAAATATATAGAGACGTTTGTTGAAAGAGCTATTGTAACTAGACGTCATCAACTAGGTCAGTGCAAGTTGCTACTAAAGAAGCTTTTTATTGTATACAGGGTGATCCAATAACTATGATCATTTCCAACATTTACATTGATTTTTGATTTTATGAAATTATTTCGAAAAGAATTAATAAGTCACATCATATTAAATAACACGCATGACGATCGTGGAAAACATTTTATATTTCGAACTTATCGAAGATTGAAAAATAATTAATTAATGGTGATATTTTTTATAAAGATTAACTTGTGTTCTGCTCATGCAAGCTATATCTTTTTTATTTTATTGAAATTCTAAAAAAAAAAAAAAAATATCACAGGTAAAAAGTTCAAGGCGAATTAAATATAAGCGATTATATTGTTTTCGCAAGTGTACCTAACGCGCATTTTTTCTTTTCATTTCTCAAGTGCACATTGCTCGTGCATTATTGTGTAAAAATATCGATAATCTTGAAATTTTATAAAAAGATAAGCTTGAAAAAATAATATTAAGCAATATTCAATATTTCCCTTTCAACAGGATGGGTACCTTTGTTCTCAACATTTCGTTTATAAAATCAAAAATAACGGAGACATTAAAAAGTGGTAATAATGATTAAAATATCAAATATATTCATCAGTATATTTATGAAATAAATCGATCCTTATCAATATGGGGTTTTCTGCATGACTTTTTATCAACCTTTCTACAAATAAAATCGTACAGAATAAATATCATAGTTAAATATTCTGCAAAGATTCTTCGATATAGATATATTTTCATAAGTGTAACAGATGGTGATACTTAGATTGAGATTAATTATTGAAAATGTCAAAGATAGATAAGTTGGTATTATACACGTATGACATGTGTATAGTATTTGAAGAATCTAATGCAATTTGTTCTATATCTTTCACATATTCCGAGCTTTGGGTTGTCAATAAGTAATATATTAAAATTATAATAATATACAGTTAAACCTCCTATAACACGGCACTCGCAGRYCRCGATKTCCAWATAACGCGGTGCTGAAATTGCGACAGCCCTCCTCTAACGCGGTACTCTTACAGCGCGGTTTCCGTTCAAGAACATCCCATAAGTTCCTTAGTCACCT